CCCCCCCAACCTCAAACAGCTGGTCGACTGTAGCACTGTTAGATATGTGTATTTTTTTGTATTTTAACTTTTATGTGTGCCACGTGTAGCCGGGTACCTGCATATTTCGAGTTTTCGTAAATTTTGATCATGAGTTTAAATAAACGAAAAGGCGTTTTCGGGTTATATGTATATATATATACAATGCTCGACTTGAGGGGGATGCAGGGGGACGGAGTATCCCTTCTAATTTTTAGAAATTTTAGCGTCCCTCTACTATTAATACATTATAATTATAACGCTTAACAAGTTTTGGGGACGCAACTTGTTAAGCGTTATAATTATAAAAGAAAACCAGAAAATATATATATATATAGATATATGTATATATAATAAAATGTAATTGTTTAATTTGGTATTTCGTAGATATTATTAGATACACAGTATTATAAAGTTGTAACCTGATTTTTTTCAAATTTATAAGTCATTACATACTAAGAAGTAAAACCCATCATGATTTTGCTGTTTAATGCATTGTATTGCATGCAATGTGTATGGTTTAATCAGTCATACGAACATGTTAAGTTTCAACTAAAAAATGTATTGTAATGAATATTTTGTTATTTTCAGAGTATACTCGGTTGTTCATTTAATTACTTTATTTTAATTTGTATTCTGGGATAATATATCTATATTGTCCTGCTGACATTTTTTTTGGCCTGCCTACTTTTTAGCATACCTTTCAAAAAGTTGAAATGACACCCCTGGTTTTCTTCTAATATCGTTATCAGTGTCGACTTTAAACATTTAACTAACTGAGGTAGTTTTGTCACTAAATTTATGAAATTTACCTTATTTTTAAATCATATTTATAGCTTCATTTTTTTTAACTGTTTTTTAAAAAAAACAGTTAAATTATTTTTTAGTTAGCTATATGTTAGTAATTAATGCACATTTTTAAAATATATCTATTCATTTTTTTCTTTCTTATTAATCCAACGCCGCGGTCGCGGCGCAGAGCTAAGTAAAAAAAGAAAGAAACTAGCGCGCGATGACGGTGTATATAACACGAGAGAACCAACTTGTATTTAACCAATGTTATTTTACGAAAATCATGTCGACTACCCTATAGCCTAAACTAATGAACCAATTGACTTGAAACTTTCACGAATAGCTCAGTTTGGTGTGTAGATGATTGTGTGAAAATTTAAAGTTTATCTTAGTATTACAGCCTTAGTTACATTCTAAAGTATTAACATAATAATTAAGCAAAACGCTATTTTTTTCATCAATTCAACAATGTATAATAATAATAATATGTTTGTGCTGGCCGCCCATTTCTCCTCTTCCACTCGTCAGTTGTAATCACTCGTTGTCACGGCGCTGCGTTGAACTGTCTGGCCGTCTAAATTTCCCTCTCCATACAACGGTTAACAAGTTCTGATAGATAATATTCTGTGTGAAAATTGTCATACATATTACCCTCATACACAAACATCACACATATTAAACGCCAACAAATATATATTTTTACAAATACAGCTATGGTCAGATTCAACCACAAAAATCACCGACTTAGTCATGAATGCATCACCAAATGAAAAAATAAATATTGATGGCAGCATGTATAAACTACACTCGGTGATATGCCACCATGGTAATTCAATGGCATCAGCTCATTATACATGCATTATCCGATTTCTTAATAAATGGGTTAGATGCAATGATTCCAATATTTATTACGACCGGTGGCCACGTGGTGCTAAAGACGTATATATAATCGTTCTCCACCAATAATTAAAACTTAAATTATATAATAATATACCTCCCCTATCCCAAACAAATACATTTCATCATCGCTTGAAAAGAATTAAATATATCTAAAATTTTAATTAAAAAAATGAGTGATATATAATATAAATTAAATAATATAATAAATATATTAAATATTTGTATTGTTCTATAGTTTGACTATAGTAAAAATATGCAAAATGATGCGAATATTTATGTAGAAATCGAGACATTCGGGTTCTTAATTAAATTATAGAACAATAAAAATATTTAAATACATTCTTCTAATAGCCGCCAAGCTAAGTAAAATTATTTGCACTAAATAAATTCACATGGTACAATAAATACAAACAGTTATAAATACTTTTATATTAATGAATTTATGAAATTACTTACGCCAATTTTTGATATCATAACTTTTGTAATTTAAGTGCTTATTTTTACTTAGCGATGTTTTTACAGGAGTGTTTTTGATGAGATATTTATTTCTAAAATAAGTACATCATTTGTGATGGTTTTCGACTGCGAACGATTCGTCGAGGAAATTTTTGATTTCCTTGGTGTGTTGTATTTTGTTGCCCGTAGCCGGTGAAGCAGCGACCGGCCTTCCAGCGTAATGAATCGTTTTCGTGTTCGCCAACGATGTTAGGAATCTGGGCTTAACGTACGACCACGCTCCTTGGTTCTTCGGCTCTTCTTGGACCCATACAATGTCGGCATTCTCATATTTGGTACACTCCTCTTTCACCAGGTCGAACGGAAACGGCGATAATTGTTCCACACGACTGATGGCCACCACGTCCTGAAGGTTTCGATCCTGCCTCGATTTGATCAAGTCGTAATAAACTTTGCCTGAACAAAATATTAAGCGGCTCACACCGCAAACGTTCTTTGATGCCGGTCCGTTTTCGGGGATGACCCGCACGAATTCCGTGTTTTCGGTCATCTCATCGAAAGATGATTTGGCCTCCGGGTGACGCAACAACGATTTGGGCGTCATCAGGATCAACGGCTTGCGGAAAGGCAACGCCAGTTGGCGACGGAGCACGTGGAAATAGTTGGCGGGCGTGGAGCAGTTGGCCACTATCCAGTTGGCGGCGTTCAGCTGGCGGATGGCGATGTTCCCGCCATCGGTTGGCAACACGTCCGGGTCGTCCGAACTCATTTGTAAAAAGCGCTCGAGCCTCGCCGACGAGTGTTCCGGTCCCATCCCTTCGTACGCATGTGGCAGTAGCATCACGAGTCCCGACTGCCGCACCCATTTCGTCTGGCCAGAGCTGATGAACTGGTCGATGATGCATTGGGCAGTGTTGTTGAAGTCTCCAAACTGCGCTTCCCAGCACACCAGCGCGTTCGGGTTGGCCATGGAGAAGCCCAGTTCGAATCCCAACACCGCGAACTCGGACAGCGAACTGTTGCACACCGTGTACTTAGCCTGGTCCGGGTACAGGTCGCACAACGGTCGGTACGTTGTTTTCTCGATCTTCTGATGGTGGAGCACGTGATGGCGATGCGAAAACGTACCTCTCTCCACGTCCTGACCACTCAGGCGCACGTGAATACCGTCCTTCAACAAGGACCCGAACGACATGGCTTCCGCTAACGCCCAGTCGGCCGTTCGTTCGCTGATCAATTGCTGACGGTTTTTGAAAATCCTCTCCAAGCCCTTGTGCACGACGAAGTCGTTGTACTTTGGCTGCAGTGATGAAAACAAGTTGCCTATGTGCTTCAACGTGAGTTCATCCACCCCGGTCTTGGGACAGTTGTCGACGTTTTTGTCCTTGAAGAAACCTGGCCACGGCGAATCCAACCAATCGCTGTTGTTCACGTGCGTCTCTTTCATCGAAACGGTAAACGCGTCTTCACAGAACCGCTGATAATCATCCCAAGCTTTGTCCACTTCGTCTTTGGTGACCACCTTCTCCTTGACAAGCGTTTCCGCATATTTATTGTACACGGGTAACGTGTCTTTTATAACGCTGTACATATGCGGCTGCGTGAACATGGGCTCGTCCACTTCGTTGTGCCCGTTCCTCCGGTAACTGACAATGTCGATGACAACGTCCCTTTTAAACGTATTCCTCCATTCGGCAGCAATTTTACATACATGCATTACGGCTTCCGGATCGTCTGCATTCACGTGGAACACCGGAGCGTTCACGACTCGCGCGACGTCCGTGCAGTAATGCGATGATCTCGAACTACGCGGATCGGTGGTGAACCCGATTTGATTGTTGGCAACCACGTGAATGGTGCCGTGCGTGGTATAGTCGAATAAATCGGTCAAGTGGAATGTTTCGTACACCACTCCTTGTCCGCAGAACGAAGAATCGCCGTGGATCAATATGGACATTACTTCGTTCCCTTCTACGTCGTTCCTGAAGAATTGCTCGGCTCGCGTTTTACCTTGAACGACTGCGTTCACGGCTTCTAAATGGGAAGGGTTCGCCACCAGAGCTATTTTCACTTTTTTCTCAGTGATTTCGTTCACGTTTTCCACGCTGGTGCCCAAATGATATTTCACGTCCCCAGAACCTTCGTCTTTAGCTTCCAATCCGTGGAACTGCGTGAATATCGTACTCAGAGGTTTTTGGCAGACGTTCGCTAACACGTTCAACCTGCCGCGATGAGCCATTCCCATGAATACCGTGTTGACACCGAAACCCGAGGAATTGTCGATTATTTCCTTTAAGGCTGGTATTAGTGCCTCGCAGCCCTCCAAGCCAAAACGTTTTTCGCTCGACCATTTACGAGCCAAGAAAGATTCGAATCCGGTCGCCATCATGATACGGTTGAGCAGCCGCACTTTTTCTTTTTTTTCCAGAACCATTGTTCCGGACACTTCAACCCTTTCTCTTATCCAATTACACAGTTCGACTGAATCGACGTGCATGTATTCGACACCGATTGAATGGCAGTAGGTATTGTCCAGGCGTGCAATAATCTCTTTCAGCGGTAACGCATCTTCCTTGCCGCCGATCGAAGTGCTCGGTGGCAACTTGTACACCCGGTCCAGGTCGAATTTGACAAACGGTGAGGCATCCTGGTACAGCACCTCGTTCAGGTAATAGTTGTCCATATCTATTTTGCTCAAACGCAGCGGATCGATTCGCGCGGCGAAATGACCACGTGTCTGATACGCCTTGATCATCGATAGGACTGTGAAGTAATTGTTCACGAGATCTCCTTCCGACTGGCCTTCCGTCCTTGCGGTTTTACTCTGACCCGTTGCTGCCGAGGCGTTTTGCCACACGTACACCAGCTCGCCCTTTCCTGGTTGGTACAGCGTAGGGGGCGCTTGATACGCCACACCCGGGGCCGCACCCGTCGCGCAGTTCTTGAAGAAAACGTCCCACGACGCGCTCACGCTCTTCGGATCCGCCAGCCACGCGTCGTACATCCCTTCGATGTACGTGACAGACGTGCCACTGAGGAATTCTTCCTGGTTCACCTTGGACACAAACTTCGGACCGTACTTGGAATAAGTCCCGGTCCATCTGTTCTCCAACGCAACGAAGTTTTGTGCCCGTAACAAGTACGACGGTCGCCGTTGTGTTGCACAAATGTTGCGCGAAACTTGCGATCAAATGTTCGCTAATTGACGTTGCATTAATCGTAGCATTGAAGACATCACGATAATACGTTGCAAGTATTTAACTTCCTAAACGTTTTGAGAACAAATCGTACTCTGCGTCTCTGCGTATAACAGTACTTGGTGCAGTATACTGATAGTTCACGGTGAAAATTTTTATTTACCCGTGAATTTGGTTGCGCCGGTAATTTGTGACATATCACAAATATGGCTTGGATATATCTGGTTGTTTCACCGAAGTTACTTATAACGTATAAAAATAATGCAAATATGAAAAAAGTTTTCATACCTATAAAATTGTATAAATTATACATTATATGTTCGCTCTGCAAACTTGTTCATTATAATCGTGTTAATGTTATCATTTTTGTGCTGTGCGTTACGTATCCGTGGCCATCGTCGCGTGCGACCGGTCCGGGTACGTAATTTCATTGTTATCATCGCACGTAAATGCGTTCGTTGTTTCGTGTTTTCGAGTTTTTTCGGTCATGTTTCGCATAAAGTTCACGTCATGCTCTTAGTGCCACAAAGTTTCTCAAGTTCTCATGTTTCAGTTTTAGTGCAGTGGCATCGAGGGATTTTATCTCAATTTTGGTGTCCGGCGACCATAGCTTTCGTGAAGACCGTTGTCGGCACCGTCCCTCTCTCGTCTTAGTGCCTTCGTGGTGTTCGTTCGTCGTTCTACAGCCATCTCGTACAAACTAGGCATGTTCTGTACAAAAATAATATCGATAATATCAATATTGATATATCATATTTCAATTTAATGATATCGATATTTTTAAACATTAA